TTTTTTTTATGTCAAGAGTAGTATTGATTATTGTTATTTCAAAAAGATATATCAATATTTCTTTCATCTTCATTTTAACCATACGATTTAGAACTTACGACTAAAATGAAATACGTATTTTAAATAAGATATATAATCGAATAGTTTTTTTTTTATATTTTTTTTAAATACATATAACCCAAAAGCGGTTTTCATAAAACCGATTTCCGATTAAATGTATTCAAAAAAGATGAAATACGTATTTTAAATAAGATGAAATACGTATGGTTAAAATGAAGATGAAAAGAAATAGTGATATATCTTTTTAAAATAACGATAATCAATACTACTCTTGACATAAAAACACCGTGTACGAAAACATATGTTTTATACGAAAACATATTTTTAAATACATAAAAAATAATATTTTTTACGTAAATTAAATACATAAAAATACATACAAATTGTTGTAAGAAACTATTTTTTTATAATACGACTAAAATACAATTTTGTTTTATTTGAAAAAAATTATATAAAAAAAAATTATTTATTTTTTATTTATGTATTAACGTTTTCGTTATATTATATAACGCTTTTAGGAGATTACAACCATGTGAGCTTTTAGCTCTAGTGGTTAATGCTTGGGAATGTAAATGGGAGATTGCGTGTTTGATTCTTCCCAACTTCTTTTACCTAATTAATTTATTTTTCCAAACAAACTTCAAAAATGGTTCCTGTGGTTTTTAAAATGTCACGAATTCAGCCCCTTTATACTTGAAAAGACGAAAATGCCCTTTCAAATTCAATTCCTAACAGCTGAATACTAACGGTGTTAGTAAAAAGGGTCATCTTTGCAAGTTTTACAAACCACAAGGATCATTTACATCAAAAAAAAAAATTAACAAGGACTGACTTTGTAATTTTTGACAAACCACAGGAACATTTTTGTAATTTTGTCTTTAAATTATCGTAATGATGATTACTTTTTAGATTGTAGTGATAAAATTATATCCATACATATATAAAAGCGTAAATGATGTCATAGTAGGATTTGCAAATATTAAATTTCAAACCTTTAATTAATACATTAATAACTATATGAAAGTGTAAATCGTGTATAAAGACTTAAAGAGTAAGATATGAAAATAATACAAAGTTTCTATAATGGTATACAATAGAAATGGAGCTAAAGGGTATAATATAAAATATGTTTATAAATTGAAAGAGTTAAAATAATAGTTAGTCAAACAGTAATTATCAAATAAAAGGCTTTGTGTTAGTATAACATAATAACACCATTAAAAATGTTGGAGGGGGCAAAACATTAGTACTGCTTCACCATTGCATATTTGATTGTATGTTTTGAGCATTTATAGAAAAAAATTTCCAAGGAAGAAGGCAGTTTGATGAATGTTAGATGGAATGGATGGGACTAACCCTCGATTTGCTAGTGGAATAAAGATGATCTCTCTCTCTCTCTCTCTCTCTCTCTCTCTCTCTCTCTCTCTCTCTCTCTCTCTCTCTCTCTCTCTCTCTCTCTCTCTCTCTCTCTCTCTCTCTCTATATATATATATATATATATATATATATATATATATATATATATATATATATATATATATATATATATATATATATATTCGGATTAACCAAAACCAACTCTATAAGATATCATTATTTGGTTCATCAATCTAAATTAACCAAAAACAAAATAATGCGAACCAAATTAACCAAACATCATTTGGTTCGGTTTGGTTTTCTATCACAACCCTAGGTAGCCCCGTCGAAATTACCCGATACCCGAATTACCCGCCCGATTTTTTCGGGTATCGGGTAAATCGGGTCGGGTAAATTTTTCCGGGTAATCGGATTACCCGATTTTTTTTCGGGTCGGGTAAAGGGTACATTTTTTGGGTTTCGGGTATACCCGAATTACCCAAATTATTTAAATTTTTTTTTTGTAGAGCTTGTACTATATAGTAGGTATTTGATCACGCTTAAACTAATATCATTATTATAAAACATAAATATATTTATTATGACAATACGACACTAACAATATTAAAAGTAATTTTTATATATCATCACGTTCTTTAAAACTTAACTGTTTTCTATATTATAGTTTTTATTACAACTAACAAACTCATTATTTTGACGAAACTTTAGAACATGACAAAACTTATGACTACATTTATCTTAAACATTTGAAACTTTTAAATTAAGATCTTTAGGTATTTGTTTTTTTAACATCTTATTAGATTAGATTAAGTCGTTAAAAAAATACTTGATATCTCATGTATTATTGAGTAGAAAATCTCAATGTTCAAAGCTTGAGTAACTTCGTATATGTCTCGTTTGTTTATATAAACAAGACTAATAAAGCACGACGTATTTATTTCATTAAATTTATTTTTAGGTGAAATTCAAAAAAAAAATCATATATTTCGGGTAATACCCGAATTACCCAAACCCGAATTACCCGAATTTAGTTTGGGTAGGGTAACGAGTAATTTTTCTAACATGAAAAACCCGAATTATCCGACCCGAATTACCCGAAACCCGAAAAAATTACCCGTTCAACACCCCTAACCCTAGGTATACGATGGGAAAGGAATTGTGGTGTTTTTATTTATAAGATATTAACATAAATAAATATTATTTATGTAAATTAGGAATAAAAGAAAGAAAATGATAAAAGATTTTAGAAAGGATAAAAACCTAATTTTAAGGCTGATCAAAAATCAACCATGCAAAAAATTGAAACCATAAAGACTATTTTCATTAAAAAAAACTAAAAATGTAACTTTTTGTAAATACATAAACCATTTATGTAATTTTGTTTTATAGTATTTATGTATAATATATATTCAATAGAGAAAATGACAAAAATAGTCATTTACCCTAATTACATTACAAAAATAACAAAAAAATCGAAATTACAAAAATAGCCAACAATATCGCAGATGGAAATGCCCCATCTGCGAAATCACCATTCCATCTGCGAATGTACAAGCAGCTAAAGCACAGTTGTGCTTCAGCTGCTTGTACATTCGCATATGGTTTTTTTTTCTCTATATATATTGAAAATGTAAGGGTGAAATCGCAGATGGAAATGTCCCATCTGTGATTTACTCTCATCTCATCTGTGAAATTGTGACCTTTATTTATTTATTTTTTTTTAAGGATTAACTATGAAATCAAATGGTTTGACTACAAAATCATGTTGCTATATAAAAAGTTTTGTAGAAAATTATCATTTTGGTTGTACAAACTATATTTTCAAATATAAAATACTCATATATTTTCATATATGTAGAGAAAAAAAATTATAAAAAAAAAAGTCACAATTTCGCAGATGGAATGAGAGTAAATCGCAGATGGGGCATTTCCATCTGCGATTTCACCCCTACATTTTCAATATATATAGAGAAAAAAAATCATATGTGAATGTACAAGCAGCTAAAGCACAGTTGTGCTTTAGCTGTTTGTACATTCGCAGATGGCATGGTGATTTCACAGATGGGGCATTTCCATCTGCGAAATTGTAGGTCATTTTTGTAATTTCGATTTTTTTTAGCTATTTTTGTAATATAATTAGTGTAAATGGTTATTTTTATCATTTTCTTTATTCAATATCTTTATATCAAACGATTAAATTCATTTAATAATTATTTGAGGGACATATGTGTGGACACATATACACGGTACATGCATGTTCCTTACAGTAATTTTTAGAATTGCCCTAAGTTATCTTGAGAGGCGGATCCAAAGTTCATCCCTAAATTAAAACTTAATAACATATGAAAACTAAAAATTAATATGTTAAAAGTACTAAAATGCTGCACATGGTTTAGTGTGCCAATTTATTTTATAAATTGTTACTTCAGCAACAGGTTTACTATTATTTATTGTTTGCCAATTTATGGATTCATTTTGTTCAACAAAAGAATGTTACAATAGTTTTAAGAATTTTACTAAACTCTTAAGAAAATTATTAGGAATATTTATTTTATGTTGGTTATTTTTGTTATTTGATTGATAATATTTTGTGTTAAACAGAACAAAAGTTTTAGGAATTTTATTGTTAGTTAATTGTGCAAAACTTCAAATAAACGAAAAATCGACGAGTTTCAGTGATGTTAGAATATTTCTTTTTAATCGGTTTGTAAATGTCTCTTTTATATGTCACAATTTTGAACCGAATTAAAGTTGCATACATAATTTGTTTTGAAGTTCCGGTTTCGTCCCCTAACTTTAGTGTTCGTGTTCCGCCCCTGAGTAATCTATTTAAATAATTGTATTATAATATATTTTTTAAAAGGTCATATCTTTTGGTTTTGGTTGACTACAAATGATAGATTAATGAATGACCAAGAATTCAAAAGACAAAAAAAAATCACATTGCAAAGCCACTATGCAGCGATGATCAATTATAGTGTACGGTGGAATGATTCATTGAAACATACAAAATTTTACTATTTGCAAGGAAAATATGTGACTAGCAATTTTACGGACTTTATTTGATAGGGATCGTTAAAAATATCATAAATATATATCGTCAAGAATAAGTTGTACTCTCACAACTGTTTATATGTGGTGTTTTATGTCAAATAATAATAATACTTCCCACGAGTTTGTGGTCAAATATTTTGTTAATGTACCTCTTGCCGTGTAACATACATGTGGGAATTTTTCTTCTAATAATCCGAGGGGGAATAAGGTAATCGAAATTTCTTTGAATGATTATTTCAAAAGCCCGAATATGTTGGGCTGGATTGTGGACGTGAACCAAAGCCCATTTGATCGATCCATTGGTTCATTTGTGTTTAATTTTAGCAAAATGTTTTGGTTGGTAGTTTGCTAATTGTAAACAGGTTTTGGATTGAAATAATTTAAAAAGATCCATGATGCAAAATGGGAATCATAAAATAAGAAAGATCCATTTAATGAGCAAATGTTCGAGAAACTACTAAACTCCATTCCATGGTAGTTGCAGTATTTACACAACACAGCTAGACGATCTATCGTCTCCATGGGACGACTTGATTAATGCTTTGATTCATGTTTTCCTGTAAATTTACACCAACACTTTACTTAATTAGGTCAAACTTTCTATTTTAACAAAAAGGCCTTAAAGATTTGGAAGTTAATTACCAAGATGCTAAAAGTGGTTTTGTTGAAGAAGATGAGGCCACGTGTCATTGAAACTTTGTTGTTTTTAACGTTGGAATCAAGAGAATCTGAAAAGACGTCATTTAATGATGAAGAGGAATCACCATCTCTGCTGCTGATATCCGTGAAACTGTCTAAACTCCATGAACGGAGCTGATGCGATGATGTCCCCTTACACATCATCATCTTCCTCAATCCCATCATCATCTTCCACTTACTTCTACCAGGTGAAGACATGCCGGAATAAGGTTCATCCAGCACACTTGATGGTGACTGTGTCTGGAAACTCTCTTCTTTGGTATTCATCAACAGTCTCGGAGGGAGATTCAAACACCTCACACCTTGTGGTGCCGGATCACTGGTAGCGGTGCATCTTGGTTTTCCGGGTGCCTCCTCCCATTGAAACGGGATGGTGGCTCCAGCTCCGGTGTAGGTGTCTGGTGGCGGAGTAAAGCCACCCTCCAGCTCCAGTCTACTGAAACGCTGTGAAAACAGTAATAATAGTTTTGGTTCCTCTTCAAACCCCATCTTCCAAGTCCTACTGTTGTCTGTTGATTGATTCTTCAACTGAAAACAAAAGGGTAGAAGTAGCAACTAAGATTGTTAATTTTTTATTGCAGGCCTAGTGGAAATCACAAAATTGCCCTTACATGCATTTATAACACTACACGTTGCTTGCTACAAGCCGATACAATAACAAATTAACAATGTATTAGATATTAATTAAAGTTGTTTACAATTACAAGGTAAATATTTTCTGCTCCTAAGTTCTATCAGCATCTTTTAAACGGCATTATGTGTTTGGGAATAAGGGAATATGCCTAATTCCTAAACCTAAAACTAAAACTAAAACACCCAATTTTATGAATACTAACCATGCATGAATATCATTATTGCCCTCATCTCATAAATCATAATAATTCCCCCAAACAATATTAAGCCAATATAATAATAATAAATTGTAATATACATATAACACGTTCTACAGTGGAAGAAATTATTTCCTTATCATGGAGTAATCAATCTATTCTTACAGTAGTAGATGAAAATATGAAATGAAGGGCTTTTAACAGTTAACCCAAAGCCATATCACGAACAACAAGACACCACAAACTCTGATCAAGTCCATAGACAATAATACCACCATCGATTCTTGTTTCTTCCCAATGTACCTCCCCCTTTGCACCCTACTCCCACTTGAAACAGACCCATCGTCATTATCCGAATCCAGTTTTCCTTCTTCTGCTCCGGATTTGTCAGCATCTCCAAAAAACCTTTTCTTCATCCCCTCCGAGGAAGAATCCGTAGATCCTTTGTTCTTCCTTCTCACGGAATTTAAACTCTCTCTGTGATCGTCTTTCAAATCCGCCGCCGTTGACGTCGCATCGAATTCCGAATTTGAAGCCAGAAGCTGCTGAAACACCGGACTAAATTCTCCTTGGAAACAATGCCAATTTGGGGAATACAACCGCTGCTTCATCGTGCCAGAATTGCGATTATCTATCATACTGGTAAACGCGTTTTTTACGCTCTTGAGAAACAACAAGCACTCAGGTTTCTCGAGCGATTCATCAAATATTCCAAAATATACGAAAGGATCAAGGATGAAAAACATGTATGTTTCACCATGAACTGTATGGGAGAAGATGGAATGGAAGCGTGGCGTCTTCTCTAGGCACTTTTTAGCTAAATCGCCAAGATCTGCATCTTTTGAATTTAATTCAGCTAGGATTGTAGTGTCTTTTGCGATGCAAGCGTAGAAGATTAAATTAGGGTTCCAACTCATATTTCAAATTGATCCGTTCACCGCTGTTGGTCTAGATAGTTATTACACAGCAAACAAAGAACGATAGACTGAAACATATGCTACATCCATACATGTCGTATTATTCCTTGCTTTTGGAACCATATGAATGCTTGTAGCTAATTGAGAGACGATTGGCAAAATCTCCGATTGTTGACGGATTATTCCTTGCTTTTGGATCAGTCATTGATGACTTAAGTTGTAGTTTTTCTCGAAGGATTAAAAATACAAGGGTTACTCTAACGACTAAACTGCAAATTTCTCAAAAAAACGAAAATACTTTTTTGACATTCTAATTTCTTTTTGACATTATTTTTATCATTTCCTAATATTAGAAAAAAAAAATTAAAAAAGAATCTCTCTCTCTCTCTCTCTCTCTCTCTCTCTCTCTCTCTCTCTCTCTCTCTCTCTCTCTCTCTCTCTCTCTCTCTCTCTCTCTATATATATATATATATATATATATATATATATATATATATATATATATATATATATATATATATATATATATATATGTCTCTCTCTCCCAAAAAAAAGTTCACCTAGTCATGATCTTCTTCTCACCCCTTCCCTCCATTGATGAAAAAAATAACAACCACCCTTCTATCCCAATTCCTAAATCCCGTGACAAGCTTCTTCCTATGTATCTTCAAGACAAAGAAAAAACAAAGAAATGTGACAACTCATTTCTGATTTAGAGGTTGCGATTAGAAAGAAGAAAAGAGATAGGGAGTTCATTGGCGACTAGGTCACAATGGGAAGAAAAAAGAAAAGAGAGGTCGATGGTTTTAGGGAGTTCAACAGATCCTAATACCCGATATCCCTCTTTATTGTCGCCTCCCGATCTCTTTTATCTCACCTGAAATTGAATTTCAGGTTTGATGTTTCATCTTCATTTATATGGTGTATATATCTTACTGGAAATCACACATAGTTAGGGTTAAATCCATCACTGCATACCTCTTCTTTATGGGATCAATCTTGTAAATCTCACAACTTTTGGAAATCCCACCAAACCTACGACGATGAAGGCGATTATGTGTATGTGTTTGTGTTGATCCTCTGAAATTTGAAAGAAGTGTATGTGTATCTATGCTCATCTGCTAAACTCATTCCCCTTTCTTTGTGGTTTTACATTGAACCTGATGAACTTTAGGAGGAAACCCTAACCATCGAGCACCAGCTGAAAAGACCTCCTGTCACATCCCCCGAACCAGACGGTGGAAACGTCCGAGGGCTCTTCTGACTTAAATTGTATACCATCACAATGATTATACATGAATCATAACATCATTCATCACCATGCATTGAAATAATACAACTGATATTATTTACATCCATTACATTGTTTTAGTCATTACAATTTCATAATATAAGCCGTTCGATAGATAATCTAAGCAAAACACCATGACATAACTTGATACTTATTCTTCAGCTTACCTGTTACCTAAGAATACAAGTTATTTTGAAAAATGTCAACATATGAAATGTTGGTGAGTTCATAAGTAATGTTGTAGTACAATAATTTGGTGTAGTTTGTAAACCATGAAAATCCGATATTTTCTGAAAAGAGTATTTGTTTAAAAATAAAGTGTGAAGATTCGTAAATATGCTAGTTGATTTTTAAAACATGTATAGTTGTTGAACTTTGTATACATCACACAAGTGAAAATGTTGAACTTCGCAGGAAAACCTGATGTTTTCCCAATACGTAAAATACGCGACTTGTTTATTGTTATACCGATACGTCAAATCTTGTTCCCATGGAATCCCGTCAGTTTGGGGGTGATAGGCTGTACTCATGTCCAATCTTGTTCCCATGGATTTTTGCAATGATTGCCAGAATCTAGACGTGAATCTGCTGTCTCTATTCGAGATGATAGACATTGGCACTCCATGGAGTCGTACGATCTCTCGGATGTAGATTATCGATAGCTTTTCCATTTTATCAGTTTCCTTGATCGGTAGGAAATGAGCGGACTTGGTTAATCTATCGACGATTACCCAAATAGTATCTTGGCCACCCTGAGTTTTGGGCAGTTTCGTTATAAAAGTCCATGGAAATTTTGCTCCCATTTCCACTCAGGAATTTCAGGTTGTTGGAGTAGTCCTGAGGGTTTCTGGTGTTCTATTTTGATCTTGGCGCAAGTCAAACACTTGCTCACATATGTAGCGATCTCTGCTTTCATGTTTGGCCACCAGTAGAGTTGTTTGAGATCTTGATACATCTTGTCTGACCCGGGGTGTACGGAGTATGGAGTCTTGTGTGCCTCTCTCATAACTACCTCTCTAAGTCCACCAAACTTGGGCGTCCATATTCGGTTCATGAGGTAGCGTGCTCCGTCACTCTTGATTTCTAAATTCTTGTCCATTCCCCTAAGGGTCTCACCTGTCACGTTTTCGGGTTTCAGGGCCTCTATTTGAGCTTCCTTGACTTGTGTCGACAGGTGCGAATGGATTGACATGGCTAATGACTTCACTCTTCGGCCAGAGTACTCCTTACGACTAAGGGCATCTGCCACGACGTTAGCCTTTCCTGGATGATAGCGAATCTCACATTCGTAGTCGTTGAGCAATTCGACCCAACGTCGCTGTCTCATGTTCAACTCCTTCTGGTCGAAGATGTGTTGTAGGCTCTTGTGGTCTGTAAAGATAGTGCATTTGGTACCATATAGGTAGTGTCTCCAGATTTTAAGAGCGAAGACCACCGCCCCAAGTTCTAAATCATGAGTGGTGTAATTGACCTCATGCGTTTTTAGTTGTCGTGAGGCATATGCAATAACCTTTCCCCTCTGCATTAGTACACAGCCCAGCCCTTGCTTCGAAGCGTCGCAATACACCACAAAATCTTCGGTCCCTTCTGGGAGAGAAAGGATGGGCGCACTGCAAAGGGCCTGTTTCAAAGTCTGAAATGCAGCATCTTGCTTTTCTCCCCAATTGTAGGTCACACCTTTCTGGGTTAAGGCGGTAAGAGGCTTTGCGATGCTGGAGAAATTCTGGATGAACCTTCGGTAATAACCAGCAAGACCTAGAAATTGGCGAATTTCTGTTGGTGTAGTTGGCGCAGACCAGTTTTTGATAGCCTTGATTTTTGATGGATCCACGTGGATTCCTTCCTTGCTGACCACGTGACCGAGGAAGTCCACCTTTCTAATCCAAAATTCACATTTTGAGAATTTTGCATATAGTCTCTCAGTCCGTAACGTCTCTAAAACTTGCCTCAGATGTTGACCATGCTCTTCTTTATTCTTTGAATAAATGAGTATGTCGTCTATGAATACTATCACGAATTTATCCAAGAATGGACGACATACCCGATTCATTAGATCCATGAACACGGCCGGGGCATTGGTTAGTCCGAACGGCATCACTACGAACTCGTAATGTCCGTATCGTGTTCGGAAGGCCGTCTTGGGAATATCACTCTCCAGGACTCGCAGCTGGTGATATCCCGACCTCAGATCGATCTTGGAGAAGTAGTTGGCTCCTTGGAGTTGGTCGAATAAGTCATCGATTCGGGGTAGGGGTATCGGTTCTTGATGGTAAGTTTGTTGAGTTCTCGGTAGTCGATGCACATTCTGAATGATCCATCCTTCTTTTTCACGAACAGTACGGGTGCTCCCATGGCGAGAAGCTCGGCCTGATGAATCCTTTTCCAAGTAGTTCATTCAGTTGGCTGGATAGCTCTTGCATCTCTGCCGGGGCTAATCGATAGGGTGCTTTGGCTACTGGGGTAGCTCCGGGAACTAGATCGATTCGGAACTCAACTTGTCTCGCGGGTGGTATTCCCGGAAGGTCCTCGGGAAAAACGTCGGGAAAATCGCGTACGTCGGGCACACTCTTGATGTCTTGGACTTCGCGTTTCACATCTACAACATGTGCCAAGAATGCGTGACACTCCTTGCGTAGGCATTTCCGAGCTTGGATACTTGAGATGATACGAAGAGTGGTACTTGGTTTGTCGCCCAAGACAATGAAAGTTTCGCCGGTTGGCAGATTAAGGCGAACGGCCTTATCGTAACATAGAATGTCCGCATGATGAGAACTCAGCCAATCCATGCCAATGATGACATCGAAACTCTTAATCGAGACTGGCATGAGGTTGATTGAAAAGGGATTATCGTTTAAAGTTAGGGTGCAGTTTAAGTATATCTCCTTAGTGCCTTCGGTTTTCCCGTTGGCCATTTCTACTATGAATGGTTCACTTAATGATTGTGGTATTGATTTTAGCAGGCCTTTAAAGTCGTGACTCACAAAACTCCTTTCCGCTCCACTATCAAACAAAATGCATGCATACGAGTTATCGAGAAGAAACGTACCCGTAACAACAGTAGGGTCCGCAATGGCTTCATCTTGTCCCATTGCGAAAACTCGGCCCCTTCCGCCGGTATTCCGGTTGTTTGCCTTTGGGCAGTCCCTGCGGTAGTGCCCCGTGTCTCCGCACTCAAAGCAGGCGCGGCTTACCCCGGTATTAGTAGTGGGGACGGATGGTTGGGTTGGCCCTTTGCAATAGCGGGTTGTATGTCCCTTCTTATTACACTTGGTGCATTGAAGATCAGGGCAAGGACCGTGGTGGTGGAAGCTGCATCGGTTGCATTTAGGAAGTTTCCCATTATATGAGCTTGTGGGGGCAGGGTTCACAGGTACAGTCATAGCGTGGGTCGCTATTACTTGTTGTTTCTTGGGGTTTTCCTGGAGAGTTTGTCCCCTCCTTTTGTTCCAAGGCCTACTCTGGCCCTGAGCCTCCCTAGGTGGATTTGCGGTTGTTGAAATGATACTGGGTTTTACTCCGTGGTCGATGAGTCGCTGAGCCAGGCGTTTAGCGCTGTTGTAGGTAACAGGGCCGGAAGCTAGGACATGCCCTTGAATCTGGGGTGACAACCCCCAAATGTACCTTTCAACCTTCTTTGATTCTGGGTTGACCATGGTAGGGCACAGTGCAGCGAGGTCGTTGAACCTAGCTGTGTAGGTGACTAGGTCAG